TGCTTCTCAGCCTGCCGGCCCCGACCTGCGCGGAGTGCTCGCGATCACCCCGCAGGCGCGCCCCTGGAAGTTCAAAGCGAAGACAGGTGGCCCGGCCATCGCGGTGTCCAGGACGCAGTTGACCGTGCTGCCCAAAAAGCAGGGGACTCTGCATGGCGTCCAGGGCAAGACGACGGACCCAGGCTTCATCGTGCACTGGACGTTTCCGCCAGGACTCAAGAAGGAGTCCATTTGGCTTGCCTACTACGTCAGCCTGTCGCGCCCCAGAAGCTTCAACCAACTCTTGAGCCACGGCTTGCCTGACCGGAGCATCATCGAATCCGGCCCCCCGGAACAGATCGCCAAGGCCTTTGCCGAGCTCTTCACGGACAAGATTGCCGCGACGAAGATCGCTTGCGCGAAGGCCCGACAGCAACTGGGATGGCCTGCGCGAGCTTGAGGAGCCATGAGATGCAGGTTGCGTTGTGGCGGTGCTGTTCAGTCTGTCCGTCTGCATTCGCGTGGTGCTTCTCAGCCTGCATGCGCGTGGTGCTTCTCAGCCTGCGCTCGTGTGCAGCTGTGCGCGGTGAGCCTGCACGTGTCGCGGAATGCTTTTCAGCCTGCGCGTGTCTGCAATGCTTTTCAGCCTGCACGCTTTGCACGGGAAAAAATCAAACTGCGAGTGTTACCGCTGCTGCATGCCTCCAGCTATGCTACTACATATCGCTGTTAGGTTGCTTTGCCGGGATAATTCCCATAGGCATGGAAGGATGTTAGTTTCTTGGGGCTCTCTTGGGGTGCTTTGGGGGGCTTGCTTGGGGCCTCCTGGGGGCGCATCGGCGCCTCCTGGGATCTCTTGGGGCCGAAAGCTCGGAATTCGAGAGTGGCTTTTTTGCTCTGGGACTCCTCTCGGGCGCGTCTTGGGGCTCTCTTGGGCCGTCGTGGGGGCCCATTGGGCCGTCCTGGGCTTCTCGTGGCCCGTCTTGGAGCTCTTTTGAGGGCCTCCTAGGCCGTCTTGGGAACCCCTTGGGCCGTCTTGGACGCGATAACAGCCCAACAGGCGAACATACGAAAAATATACGTTTTCCTACAGGAACGGGACGATGATTGCTTCTTGGAGCTCTCTTGGGGTGCCTCTTGGAGCGTCTTGGGGTGCTTTTGGGAGCCTTCCGGGCGCTTCTTGGGGGCTTCTCGGCGCCTCCTGGAGCCACTTGGGGTCGAAAGCTTGGAATTCGATGGTGGCTTTCTTCCTCTGGGGTCCTCTCGGGCCCGTCTTGGGGACTCTCTCGGGCCGTCTTGGGCCCTTCGTGGGCCGTCCTGGAGCTTTCTGGGGCTGTATTGGGGCCCTCTGGGGCGCGTCCTGGGCCGTATTGGGGCGGTCTTGGGAGCTTCTGAGGTCGTCAAGCACGGACCGACAGCGAAAACAAGCAATATGTTAAAAATATACGTTTTACGACGGGAATGGGGCTATTTTGGCCCCTTCGGGCTCTCTTCGGGGCCCTATTGGGGGTCGTTTGGGGGGTGATGGGGGCTTCTGAAGCCGCCTTGGAGGCCACGTTGGGCGTCTGGGAGCGACCTTCGGGCGTCCCGGATCTGTTCTGGAGCCTCTTGGGGCCTCCTTGGCGCCTTCTGGCGGCCTTCTGTGAGGCCCCGGGGCTCCCCGAGGGCCCCGGAGGCCACATGGAGGCCTCTTGGGGCTTCTTGGGGGGCTCTTGGGGCCTCCTGGGAGCATCTTGGGGCGGAAGGCTAGACTGTTCGGTCCGTGGTCCCCCTCTTGGGGCCGTCGTGGGGCCCTCCTGGGCCGTCTTGGGCGCCTCTTGGGCCGTCTTGGGGCCCGCTCGGGCCGTTTGGGGGGCGTCTTGGGAGCCTCTTGGGCCGTCGTCAACGCAGTGAACATCGAAAAACCATGCATGCTAAAAATGCACGTTTTCCATAAAGGATCATCAATGATTTTGGCATCTTGGGGCCCTCTTGGGACGCCCCTTGGGCGCCTCTTGGGGGCCTCTTGGGGGCCTCTTGGGCAGTCTTAGGCGGTCTTAGACTCTCTTGGAGCGCTCTTGGGCCGTTTTGGGGGGGAACCCGAAAAACATGCAAAAACCATAAGGAAAACCCGAAAACGGCAATTAAACCCATCCACTCAACCTACGCCCCCCCCTGGACCCACCCCCAAGGGCTTCGCCCACACCAGAATGTCATCACTCGTACCTCGCTCTTTCCGTTACCTGCTTGGCATGGAGACGGAAAGCGCATTTATTGTGTGAGGGCGCAAGGTGGCTCGCTTAGTGTCTCTTGGGACCCTGTTGGTGTTAAGGTTTTGGCACGCCGTAACAAACATCTAGCAACCAACATTGCAAAAATCAACGAAGATTGCGGTTCCAGGCCTTCCTGGGGGGCCTTTTGGGGCTCGCTTGGCCCGTCTTGGGGCGACTGTTGGGGGCCTCTTAAGGGCCTCTTGGGGCATCCTGGGGGCCTATTGGGGCCGAGGGCCAGAAAAGTCTGTTCGGGTACCCCGTCTGGGCCCCCATCTTGGAGCCGTCTTGGGGGCCTCTTGGGCCGTCTTGGAGACCTCTTGGGCCGTCTTGGGGCCGTCTGGCAGCCCTCTTCGGCCGTCTTGGGGCCGTCTTGGGAGCCTCTTGAGCCGTCTTGGGCGATCTTAGGGGTCTCTGTCTTGGGCCGTCGAGGAGCCGAAAAGGCGAGAACCCCAAAAACCTTTCAAAAACGATCAGAAAATTCATGATGTTTGCCTCTCTTGGCCCTCTTGGGAGGCCTCTTGGAAACCTCTTGGGGCGTCTTGGAGGCCTCTTGGACCGTCTTGGAGGCGTCTTGGGCCGTCTTGGACGCATCTCGGGCGAAAATGGAGGCCTCTTGATACCTCTGGAGCCGTCTTGGAGGCCATCTTGGACCGTCTACGGCGATATTGAGGCCGCTGGAGGCCTCTTGGGAGGAAACTAAGACCATTAAACCCAGGGGCTGCGGATGCCACCCCCTCTGCACTCCCCTAGTTTAATTCCTTCCGACAAACGGATCGCACGCTACGCGCGCTTTCCGTCATCTGCCGCGCGGGCTGCCTACCCCCCGAACACCCCATTGTTATTTCTCCCGGCTAACGGATCGCGACGCTACGCGCGCTTGCCACTAGATCCGCCGCCCCCATGAGGCATGCCACAGTGGCGCACGGCGTGCCGAACGTTGGGGTGTTTCAATTTGCTTAACGGTTCCCAGTGTCCAACCCGCCTGCCACCAAAAAAGCTGTCCCGGACGTGGGAGGCAAGGGCTTTTCCGCTCCAGATGGCTCCAAGATGGCCTCCAAGACGGATAAGATGGCCTCCAAGACGGCCAACATGGCCCGAAGAGAGCCCAAGATGGCCGCAAGATGTCTCCAAGACGGTCCAAGATGCACCCAAGACGGCCTAAGGTGAACTCAAGATGGCCTAAGACGGCCCGAGAGGCGCCCAAGACACCTCCAAGACGGCGGCCCAAAAAATGCCTCCAAGAGGTCCTCCAGGAACGCCCGAAAAAGCCCAAATCATCGATTGTCCATCGGTTCTGACGGATTTGGGCATTTGCTTCTTGTCGGCCTTTCAACAGCCCCAGACGGCCTAAGAGGCCCCCAAGGTCGCCCCAAGATCCTCCAAGATGGCCCCATGAAGCCCCAGAAGGCCCCCAAGACGGCCCCAAGACAGCCCCAAGAAGGCCCCAAGACGGCCCAAGAAGCATCCCAAGAGGGTCCCAAGTCGGTACAGAGAGCCACTTAAGACGGCTTCTGACGACGTCAGACGGACCAGGAACGGCCTTACACGGCCAAAGAGGCCCACAAGAAGCCCCCAAAGGCACCCAAGAGGCCCAGGAAGGCCCTCAAGAGGCCTCCAAGAGGCTCCCAGGAAGCTCCCAGAAGGCCCCAAGAGTGCCCCAAGAGGCTCCCTAGAGGCTCCCTAGAGGCCTCCTCCTCCACCTTCACCTCCTCCTCCACTCCTCCTCCTCCTCCTCCCCCCTCTCCTCCTCCTCTCCTCCTCCTCCTCCTCCTCCTCCTCCTCCTCCTCCTCCTCCTCCTCCTCCTCCTCCTGCCTCCGCCTCCCCTCCTCCTCCTCCTCCTCCTCCTCCTCCTCCTCCTCCTCCTCCTCCTCCTCCTCATCATCATCATCATCATCATCCATCATCATCATCATCATCATCATCATCATCATCATCATCATCATCATCATCATCATCATCATCATCATCATCATCATCCATCATCATCATCATCATCATCATCATCATCATCATCATCATCATCATCATCATCATCATCATCATCATCATCATCATCATCATCAGCATCATCATCATCATCATCATCATCATCATCATCATCATCATCATCATCATCATCATCATCATCATCATCATCATCATCATCATCATCATCATCATCCTCATCTCATCCTCATCCTCATCATCATCACCACCACCACCCACCACCACAATCATCATCACATCATCATCATCATCATCATCATCATCATCATCATCATCACAATCATCATCATCATCATCTACCACCACCACCACCACCATCATCATCATCACATCATCATCAATCATCGCATCAGCATCATCCAGCATCATCATCATCATCAGCATCAGCATCAGCATCAGCATCAGCATCAGCAGCATCATCATCATCATCATCATCATCATCATGATCACCACCACCACCATCATCATCATCAGCAGCAGCATCATCAGCATCCTCTCATCATCATCATCGCATCATCATCATCATCGTCCATCATCATCATCATCATCATCTTCATCATCAGCATCATCATCATCAGCACATCAGCATCATCATCATCATCACATCATCATCATCATCATCATCATCATCATCATCATCATCATCATCATCATCATCATCATCATCATCATCATCATCATCATCATCATCATCATCATCATCATCATCATCATCATCATCATCATCATCATCATCTCTCCTGATCCTCCCCCATCATCCTTCCTCCAAGTGTTCCCCGAAGAACTTCCAGAGCGGCAGGGGAAATACATGGTCTGATAGCTTGGCCAAACTGGGGCCAAACGTTTGGCCCCAAAGGCGTTTCCCAAAAAAACACGGTGCTGCGGTGATTCGCCGTATGTAGGCGTCTTCGATAAATAGCCTTGCTGGACTTTGGCACACGTCCGCAAGGGGCCCGTATGTCGAAAAAATGTATATTGAGGTCGAGCGCCGGGACAGCAGTCGTTGAGGCTTCCCGCGTTGGCCTCACTCAGACCTTTCGCGGGATTCATTACTCAGCCTCGGAAAAAAAACTCAGATAACTTGAAAATCATGAAATATCCAGCAGCAGAGGCACGAGAAGACAGTCTTGGCCATGGAGGGAGAGGAGGACAAAGAGTGAGAGGTGGAGGAGGAGGAGGAGGAGGTAAGGCCCGCTGCTTTGTCGGTAGAGCCCTCCCCTGCCAAAAAGAACAAGGACACCTGCACATCGACTAGACGGCATTGTCTAGAAGTCTCACGGCGAAGGCTGCACCACTGCTAAAGTATTGAGCTATCAGCACGACTGCTTGGACCAAGCCTCGGATGTCTAGCCTCATGCGCACAATAAAGCAGAGCTGTGACTAAGCCTGCCTAAGCTTCATTGAACTGCACTAATAGTCTTGACGCGGCTGTTTCGAGCTATGCTCAATCCAAGAGCGCATCGTCGCCCCCCGACTCCATGTATGAAGCAGTACTGTGCGCGCTGCACTGGTGAAACTGGCGGGTGCGCCGCGTGGCCCATCTGAATGTCCACACTGAAGCGGAAAGGCATACGCCGACGGCAGAAGCTCCTGTCGCAATGAACATGAACTCCGTTTCAAATGTCCCGGTCGCCTTCTTCGCCGCAGTGTCACTGCCCCCCTTCTTTTGCCCCGAATACAAAAGCCTGCTGCAATCATCAGGGTCTTCTTCTCCGCCTCCAGGGAGTTTGGATTTGATCCAGACGGGGAGTTTGGATTTGATCCAGACCCACACGGCACCAGGCCTGGATAAGACCCAATCCCACCAGTCTTCAAGTCTTGAAGTCATATTGTCATACCAAGCTCGGGCGGGTTCAGTAATCCTGTTCGATATCGACTCCTTGCATGAGGTACAAGTCGCCTCATCGCCCTTGCAGATATCCGCCACCGTGCCCCCTGGCACGTTGTTTGAGGCGTGCTAGAATGCGAAGTGCTGTCTGGCAGCGCGTCTGTAATCTTCTAAGGACCCCGCCCCCTCCAATGCGCATCAATCTGCGTGCATCGCCCCCTCTCCCGGGGCTCCCTGGGCGCCTAAGACGTCCCCTGGCAATCTCCAAGGCGTCAAAGACGCCCAAGATGGCCTCCAATATAGAACTGGCAGGCCACCGAGGCCGCCAAGATGGTCCAAGAGGCCTCCACGACGGCCCCAAGATGGCCCAAGATGGCCTCAAGACGGCCCAGGAAGCCTCCAAGGCGGCCCAAGAGGGCTCCAAGAGAGCCTGCAGCAAGGCCCGAAGAGGCCAAACTCATTGATTTCCTTGTATTTGAATGAGTTTCGCATTCTCGCCGTTTCGACCTTCCGTCGGCTCGAGACAGCCCATGAAACCTCCAAACTTGCCTGCTCAAGACGGCCCAGGAGGACACCAAGAAGGTTCCAAAACGGTCCACGAGGGTTCCAAGACGTCCAGGAAGACCCCAACTCTGCCCAAGAAGGCTCTCGGACGGCCCTCAAGGCCTCCGAAGAGACTCGAGACGACCCAGAGCGAGCCCCCCAAGACGGAGTCCGAGAGCGCCAGACGGCCCAAGAGCGCCCTCAGACTGCCCAGGGGGCCCAAAGAGCCTCCGAGGCACCCCCAATACGCTATCAAGACACTCCAAGAGGACCCCAAGAGGCCCCCAGGGAGTTCCCAAGGCCCGAGGTGTCACACGTGACGGCCTCCTGCGCCCCCTCGCACAATCGCCGCCGAGAATGCTGGGCTGGCACAGCGGCGGGACCTGCCGCAGGCACCTGGATAGGGACCACGTCAGCCGTATTTTTTTTTGCACGAGAGGCCGTCGTTGCACTGATCACTGCTGTCGCATGTCTCGTCGCAACATCTCCAGCCACCATCGGCTGTGACCAGCGTCAGCCCCGCACCGAAGAAAAGCACGGCAAATGAGCTTTTCAACATCACCACGGCCGGAGTTGCCCAGATCACTCCTGAGGCTCACCCTAGGACTTCCTTCGCCAATGGCCTTGAGCGTAGCTCCAGCCAAAATCCTTGAGCCGATATGGTAATGGGATGATAGCTCGAGGATCAGGAAGGCGGCCTGGGTCAGGAAAGAGGAGCGTCTTACCGAAGGCACCCTCTCCCTGATATCTGAAGATCTGTTTTTTTTTTCGATATTTGGTCCCAAAATCCCGACGCCTTCACCAGGAGTAGTGTTCCGTCCCAAATCCGTCCTCGGTGGTCCCAGGGCCCGAAAAAGGCCCCGGGGGCCGAAACGGAGGAAGGAACGCCAGGATTGCAAAAAACAAAAACAAAACACATCGTCGGAGGTCTGGGTTCCTGTTCAGGTCAGTGTCAGAATCCTAAATTCTGTCCTGAGCCAAGCACGAAGCCCAAAGATCGCACGCCCTGGTGCTCCAGGCTCCGAGCTTTACAGCAGCGGAAGGGGGTTTTATTGCCCACGTGCGACATGGGGTTCGGGTTTTCGTCCCACCTGCGTCGCACCCGCGCCTCCCCTTTCACCTCCCTCCTCCAGTCTTTCCTCTGAGAATCGGGGTAAGATGTCAAAGGAATTAAGGTATCATGTTGACTCTGCTCAGAGGTAGAAGATACGGGCTGAGACATCGATGAACCCACAAATAAGCCGGCAAGCAACTGCACTCAAGTATAGGAAGGGAGGAGGTCCGGCCGGCCGAAGACCGACGACGCGCGGCGGCCAAGCGCTGGCGCGCTCCTTTTCTCGCTTGAGTACAAGATAGCTGCGGGATGGTACCGCAGTGTCAAGGTGAGGCAAGGCAGGCAGCAGAAGAGGCAAGTGCGGGATGACGCGGAGAGGAGCATATTTACTCCCCCCGCGGCGGGTTTAGTAGAGTCCATCCAGCCACAGCTTGCCTGGCCTGCACATATTTACAGCCACCGGAGCGAAGCCCAAAAGTATTTCACCGCTCAACGGTGGTTGCCAGCGGGCTGAGGGCCGGAGAAACCCGACGAATCCCACCAATAGTTTAATAAATTCTCTCTGCCGAAACGACTTTGTCGCTCGGCCTCGCCCGTGGCGACTTTGTCGCCCGGGCTTTGCCTGCTCTCATTTCTTGCGCTATAGGACTCGCCCCGACGGTGGAGACGGAGGTCTCGGATGTGAAGACGACGAACCTCCCGTCTGGTCAGCAGGCCAGTAGGGCGAGGCTGATCTGCGTCCCATGCCACGGCCAACGTAGGGCACTGGCCTGTTGTACTTGTCCTTGTTCTTGTTCTTGTTATTGGAGTACCCCTTTCCTTCCCTTCTCGGGAAGTAGTAGTGATAGTCGTTCAGATATACACAATGCCACACACGATCCCGGTTCTCTCTGGGAATCATCCAGTACGTCACGTCACGGTGAACCCAGTATCCATCCAGTTCATCACCCGTGTAGCGCGGGCAGTGGGTCGCGGTGTTGTGGTCGCTGGCAGCGCGCCCAGCAGCCATGGCGCCGCCGCGCGCGCGCGAGGGCCTAGACCAATCCCACGTGTCCCTGTCGGAAGCATACCACGAGTACTCATCTCCTGCCGCGCCGGTTAGACCGCCGGCAGAGCATGGAGATTCAGCGACGTCGTCGTTGGCCCGATCATCTTGGACGTCGGGTCTTCGAGGCGGAGGGGGCGGATCGGGGCGAACAGCTGGGCTGGGCCTCGCTTTCGCCAAAGGGATCCCTTCCGCATCGGCTTGGCCGTCGGAGGGCCCATCAGCGCCTCCCCTTTTCACGAACACTCGTCACTCGTTGCTTTCTAGCATGTCTGATAATATCCCTCGCGGCGGTAGCAACAAAAGTACCAAACTTGCCACAGGCACAGCGAAAGGGGCCTTCATCTTTGTCTTGGAGCTCAGTTGCTTCCACGCACAGATATAACCAGTAGATAGCTCATTGCAGCTTCATGCCCTGACGACGGATATCGGCACGACCCTGTCTGCCCAAGTCATGGGCCCATTCTTCAATGAGGTCATCTGTCTCGATCGCCGCACGAATACGGCAATCAAGCGCATATGCATCCGTCTGACGCTTCTCATCATCGCACTCTGCCCCTGTGCCGCGAGCAAGAAAGTTCGCCAAAGGGTATGCAATATAATATCCCTCGGCAATGAAACAACTAATGAACTCACGAACATTCACAATCACGCGAATGATGCGGAGACCCCACTCCAGTTCTTGAACAAGAATCTTCCAATTCCATTCAATGATCTGCCGCACGTCTTCCGGAACATCGCGTGTTATTTCACCCGTCAGTTGTGACCTTTCAGGCTCGTTTGTGTCCGGGCGATAGCTGGTGTACTCCATGGCATATTGAGCCGCCACATCAATGGCTCCTTTCTGAGTCAACGTGATGCTCAACGATCCGTCATCGCGATGAGAGTACAATAGTCCATTGGACTGATCGACATCGATCCTCCCGTCAAGCATCTGCTGGGCCTGGGACCCGCAGACTGCGGTGAAATCGAGGGTCATCTCTACGTTCTTCTCATCACCAGCCGTCACGGTTTGACCGGCGGCAAGTTTCACCGAACTAAGAGGGTGTGAAGAACGAATTTTGTTGCGCCTGCTGACGAACTGGGAAGCACGACGAGGACGTGCTACAGAATGGTTTGCCCAAGCAACCGGTGGACTTCCACGAGGGCTGGGACCTGTGGCGTCCATAGCGGTGCCCTGGGCAACGGGCAGCCAGGGTGCTGCCCCCGTTCTTGCGTCGCGCGATGTCCGAAGAGTTGGCACCAAAGTGTTCGTCGCTTGCATGCTGCGTTCCCATCCAATCCAACCTTCAATGGTTTCGACGTGCGGGTCTAAGCGCCTCTGGCCATTCAAAGGCAGCCAGAGCGAGACAAGACAAGGGACGCGCATACTGGTCAATTTCTGTCGCCCAAAGTAAGGGCCACCACTCAGAGAGCGGTGGAGCCTGAATCCCTTCTCTCGCAGCAAATGTGCAAGCCATTTTATGAATCGCCTCTTCAGAGGTTCAAGATACTGAAAGAAGGGACCGCGGCGCGCCGGCGGCTGGGCCGCGACGTGCTCAGGAACCCAGGCAGGAACACTACCCGGGTGGCTGTTTCCAAAGGTTTGACCCGAAGCAGCCAAGATAAAATGCTGATCATTTGTTGCCAATTTGCGCTCCAGCTTCAGATTGTTGCTTATGTTTTTCATTACATCCGCCGAAGCTCTCCGTTGTCTTTTCATTCGCTCGCCAACAGAACGGTCACGCTCCCAAGGAAGCGTCCCAAGATTGACAACATGCAACAAAATGCCATTGTTCCAAAGCGAGTATCGAATGATCTTGTGTCTGCATGACTGAAGCAAATTATCATGGGCAACCATGTACTTATACTTTACTGGATTACCACAAGCGGGGCAACGGCCAAAGCCAGTTCGCACCCAGTGCAATCCAGCACAGAGGAACCGACCATCGTCCTCCCATGGGGACAGACTGAATGAATTCGTCTGCCCTTTTAGGCAACGGATGCCTATATTCTGGGAGCAACGTCAAAGTCTCGTCCGTGTGAATCCAACCGAGCATCGAGGTGTTATCAAAATTTACCTCGTATGAGGTCCATTTCTGATTGACGACAATGGACCAAGACATTCGGTTTTCGTCGCGATCCCACCAGTCGCTGACTTTGGCAAGGGTGACGGCTCTGTCGATATCAGTGAACCTCGGCGCCTCACGGGACACGAGAGTCCCGTCCTGGCAAACCCGGCACGAAAAGCGGGTGAGCACACGGCCATTGAAAACAAGAACTAATGGCCAGGATTCTCGGTGAGTCGGAAGCTGGTCCCACAGAAGGACTGTGTCCACTGCGGGCCATGCTCCAATCGACGGGGGCTCTCCTGGCTGTGGGTCACTGCCCATGGCATGGTGCGTCTTCACAGGAGCAGGCTCTCCATACCTTCGCTGGCTCAGCCAGGAGGGAAGATGGTCTGGGCTTCGCATACTCGGGTCCTTCTTGGTCGGAAGAAGCCTCAGCAATTCGTAGTCCGCCTCGAGGCAAAGCCCCGAGTCGCTTTTTGGGAACTGAGCTTCTCCGACCATGGATTCCACCAAAGTTCCCATGTCAGTGATATGGAGGAGGGGCCCATGACACCTGGCTAGGCCAGGGTCATAAGGCACGTACATTCTCTCATTTGAAGCAACAAAAGTGGAATGTCCCTGGCACGCTCGGTAGAAAACAGGAATGGGGCAGATAGTCCTCTCCTCCCCTTGAGTGGGCCAGGCTTTGAATTCACGCCACAATTTGTAAACTACCGTCTCCTTGATGCTGGCATCGTCATCAGGGAGCACACCAAGGACTTCCACAGACCCCGGCTGCAGCGCGGCTAGGCCGCGCGCAGCAAGTGCATATGTTTGGTATATAAACCCATCCTCGTCCATCTTCTCAACCAGGTCTCCAAAGCAGACCCAGCCTCCCGAGGACCTCGCTTAATCAGAACAATGTCGCGCGAGATACGTCGCGAAATCACCAATGCGCTTAGCGAACCCGTCTATTCGACAACTTTGGGGTCGCCAAAAATCCGCACAGCCTAGGGCCGCCGGATTCTCGCGATCAGTGTTCCCCACAACCAATGGGGTCAAGACCTTAAAAGACTGAGGATCAAATCCGCTGGGAACATCATCAGAGTAAAACTCAGCACGGAGAAAATCTCGCACCTGTTCAAAAGTGCCCATGTCTACGGAACTTCGCCCAATAGTGCAAATATGGGATCTTCAACGAGCTCCGCAACGTGTTTGAGCGTACTAAGCGTGTTATTGCGAATGGCCTCTACCCGAGGGGGCACAGGACCCGTAGCGTGGGCCTCTCGAACCCTCCGCTTCAGATCAGCGGCCGTACAATTAATAATTCGAGTGCGTTCTTCCAGCGCAAGAGAAAGCTCTTTGACCCTAAAGTGGTCAGCGTGCCCGACATGAATCTCTTGATCGCCCTCTTGGGGCGAAGCGTCCGTCGGTTTATGATGCCGCTTATCGGGGGGGGGGGGGGCAACCTGGCTCTGCAGAAGAAGTTGGCAGAGGCTGGGCCAGATCGATAATGCTCCTCCTCAA